CCAATTTTGCGAGTGTCCATTGGATACACAATTTGCGCAATTTGTGGCATTTATTAGCCATTTGTCTGAACGCGTGTAGGAATAGCTGGTGATCGACATTCACTTCGAGCTCGTTATCACAATGTGTGAACACTTCTAAGTCCTTCAGACCTGATATTTGTTGATAACACGCATTCATTTCATCCGCTTCTAACACATCGGCGTCGATATAAAGCTCTCGTAAAGTATTATTATTATTATCAATGAATTTCTCGAAACATAGTTTATCTCTCGAAGACATATTGAAACTACATTTTGTCAGATCATGTGCTAAACAGTGGCCAACAATGACAGCACTATTGTCATCACTATTGCCATAGTCTACATCTTCAAACATATCGGTCAGATCATTCATACCGAACGAATGGCCCAACTCTTTGATATTAGTAAATAATTTCAAATCTTTTTTGATGTCAATGTATTCATAGGGATAGTCAATGGTTGCGATACTTTTGCCAAACTTGTCGACAAACTTACTGTAAGTGTCTTCAGTTAAATAACTCAAATGCATACGAATTCTCTTTAAATGAACGCAATATTTAATGATTAATTCAGTGAAATTACTATAGAGTTGTTGATCAGTCCAACTCCACAGCGAAATCTTAATGTCGTTAATATTGGGACACTTTTTGAGCACATTTTGCAAATTGTGTTCATTCATGGCTTCAGGTATTGTAGGCCAACCCCATTGAGGGGACTCTACTTTGAACAATTCCAACACATCCAGAGTGTATTGTCTCTTATAGACACACCTCTGGAACTGTTTGGACACCGATTCGAGTCTAATCCTGTCCTCAATAGACAATCCTTTGAACAACTCTTCGCACAAATCATCGCATATTCTGTCACCGAATGAATCCCTTCGAGCATTCATTGCGTGAATTAAAGACATTTTCATAGAAATTATTTAATTATGAAAACTATTTTAATTTAATTAAAAGTGTAATAAAAAGTATATTGTTATACAAAATATCAAATCTAAACAAAACAATGGTTTCAATCACTAGTTTATTATGCAATACATGGATGTGTTGTGTGAGCACTAGCGTGATTAAAAATTACCTTTTTTTAAAGATTACTTCCAGGTAAATTTACCGGTAATAATTACCTGGTAAATTTACCCACAAAAAGCTCACTCGATAGATTGCAATAGCAAAAAACGTCCCAAAATTTTGCAAAATGTAGGGGAAAACACCTATTATACCCCCATTTATAAATTACATAAATTACCTCAATTATAAATTACGTAAATTTACCCTAAAATTACGGTAATTAATGGTAATTTATATAACTTACTTAAATTACCTACACGCTAGTGAGCACAGGTATGGACAACAGGTTTATGAAGTTTTCATTGAAGACATCATTGATGGATGAGATGTCGCCCTCTATTGGCAATGGTTTGGCACAAAACAAAGCATTGTTTTCATATGTTTTCCACACTTTGAGCACAATTTGTGACACAAATAATCACTTCATTTGTCACCGAAAATGGCCTCAAAAGCAAAGCCGAAGACACAATCAAACGAAGCAATAATCGCCGGCTTTAATGAATTACGAGCCGAACAAAGACAAGTGGCCAACAAAGTGGCCGAACTCGAGGCCGACCTCTCAGAACATAAGTAGTGCCCCAACTCTTGATTGTCTGACCAATTGATCCCAATTGTGATGTCTATTCTTCCGCTTCTTGTTTGACAGACTAGTGTTGGAAGCGTTGGCCGAGACTAACGGCGACCGCAAGTGTTTCCGAATGATTGGCGGCGTTCTTGTCGAGCGAACGGTCGCCGAAGTGTCGCCTTCGCTGCAGAAGAATAAAGAGATGGTAAGCGAGAAGACAATCACTTGTTGTTTATGTTTTGTTGCGATTTTAATGACTATTTTGTGGACAGATTTCGCAAATGATTGAAACATTGAAACAACAAATCGTTACTAAAGGGCAACAAATCACAGAATATATGGACAAAAACCAGATTCAGATCCGCTCTCAACCGACGGCACAATCGTTAGCCGCGTCTGAATCGGGCGCCGGAGCCGAGGGTTCGGGCGTTTTGGTCGCCAATAGTTAGAAGTGAAGCCTCTTTTGAATTGAATATTGTTTGTGAGGCCAGAGAGAGAGAGAGAGAGAGAGACGGCCTCTACTTTGCATACAATGTCTAAATACACGGCAATTATATTGTGAAATACAGACCAAATGTTTGGCATATTGTGTGCAAACATCTCTTATAATTCATTAAATGTAAAACTAAATTGATTTGTAATAAATAACATTTAAAACATAATTATTAAATCACTTTTAATCAAATATTTAAACTGTTTTTTGCAAACATTTTTGATGCAAACTTTTGACCATAATTCTGGACGTCATTAATGAACACTAGTGTTAATGAATGGCATATTTTGTTTGTTTACAAATATTACTGTATTTTCAATGTTTGCATTGATTTGAAAGTCAATACAATTAAACATTTAGTTTATAAATCGATGTCATATTTAATAGCATTTTGTTGACTATAACGGGAGAGGGGTGTAGTTGGGAATGAGCATGGTCAGTTTGGTAGATGTGGTCAGTTCGGTGAATGCGGTCACTCTGGAGGCCGAGTTGGACCGCAAGACCACAACGATCTTGAAGTTGACACTCGTTTTGGACAAGTTTTTGACACTCTTTGAAGACTATCGGCGATCTGTCCGTCGGTTCGTGTCTTCGTGTGAGTGCGCGGACACGACCTCTCACTCCAGACAACGCTGTCATCGATTGGACACAGAGTTCACGGCTATTATCGACGAATACAATCAATACAAACACGTGATCGCCGACGAAGAGGTTGACGACAATGATTGCGGTAAATCGTTGGCCACTAAAAACACGTGACTTTTTGCTATTAATTTATCTCATTGTTTACATCCATAGCGTCACCAAAAGCAGATCCATTGCGGTATACGTGCGGTTACGGCGACTGTAACTTTCAGACTAGATATCAACGCAATCTTAAGCGTCACGTACGCCGAGTCCACACCACTGAGTGCTACCGCTGTCGGCAACCCATCGACGAGACAATGATTAGGTCTCATCTCCAGAAGTGTGACAAACCGATCAATGGTTTGAATTGATTTATTTTTGGTTACATTTTGTGTTATATTATGTAAACTTTACGTATGTTTTCAGTTGCGGTGCGAAAGTGTCCGATCGATGGCTGCGATTACCAGTCCATCAGCGGTGTGGACATCAAACGCCATAAGCTGTCGATGCATTCAATCGGTTCCGATCTTCAGTGCAATAAGTGTTCGTTCAAATGCACCACATTTTACGCTTACAATCAACACGTTTTTCGTTACCACAGTATGTGTACTGCAAATGATAACGTTATTTAATTATTAAAATCAATAACTGATCACCAATTGGATCCACACGACAGACACGAAGAAGAGGCGCATACTTTACAAATGCGAGAAATGCCACAAATGTTTTCATCTATTGCATCGATTGAACGCTCACGTGATTCGCGCGCATAGATGTGAGACAATTGCCACTTAAGACACAAAGATTGATGTTTTTAATGAATTATCTGTGTAACAGCCAAACCATTGGAACCGCTGCGCGTTCGGGACAGACATCGGTGCCACTATCGCGACTGTGGCGCCATTTTTGGGTGTCCGTCGAAACTGGCGATACACGTCGGCGCCAAACACACCCCTCTTTTCGACGATTGGTCTGAATATGTGTTCAAATGCGAGATCTGTGGCGATGTGTTTAGGGACCAGCGTTTGGTTGGCCGCCATTTGGACTCAGTTCACAAACTCAATGGACGCAAGTATTGGTTTAAGTGCGGATCCGATGGCTGCGGCTTTGAGAGCATCTCTTTACGCGGTATTAATGACCACAAGAGAGACCTCAAACACGTCGGGCCCTATGTTTTGTTTAATAAAACGAAAGGCCAGTTGACGTGTGAATCTGTAGCTGAAGTGTGTGGTAGTGTTAGCCCGCGTGCGGCCAACAGTACCCGTAATGAGAACTTATTATCGATGGAAACGCTTGACTACTGTTCGGGTGAAGCGTTGATCAAGACTAACATCACAGCGATTCCCGATAAACAATCATTTAGTGGTAAATCAGTTTCGGCACACATTAACAGCTCAACCATTGGATCAAATGAGCCTAAAAATGATGACACTTTTGTTTTTGGTATTCATTTCACGATTAAATAATTAGTATAAATATTTGAAACAATTGTATTCTTCCTCTTCAGGCAGTCTTTTAATGAATTCATTGCTTCAAAATAACGACACGAAAGGCGTCGCATCCAATACATCGGGATCTGGGGCTCAGTTGAACCGCACGGAAAGCGCTAGAAAGAGGCCTCTGACCTACCGATGCGAGTACTGCATTGGTTCCAACGTATTCGCCACAGACTCCAAGTCATACTTCGATACGCATCACCGCAACTGTCACCCGAAGGCACTCGACTGTGACCTATGTTTGGCCCGATTCGCGACACTCGCCCAACGACTGGAGCATCAGATCTATTGTACGGTTCCCAATATTTATATCTGCGACCAAATGAACTGCTATTTCGAGTGCACCGATAGCGAGGCGTTTGACGAGCATCGGCGCCAACACACAACACCACCTATTGATACGATTAGCGCTCGTGTCGACGATACTGTGGCCAAAGCGGACCCAATTAGTGATGTTAATTGTGTGGCAAAAAGTGCTCAAAAGCCAAATGAGAGCAACGGTTTAAATGAAAGCGACGGAAGTCTTTCCGCCGATAACTCTAGTAATAATGGTCACGACGTGCAGCAACTGCTTGCCCTCTTGCTATCTCTGCCACAAACTGCTGATCCACTTGAGACCAACTGTGAAAACAATGAGATTGCGGTTAAAAGTAAGCGCAAAACACCGCACACAATAAGAGATGATAATTTTGTGGACAGTACTCATGAGAAGTCAATTGCGAGCGACGGACGCAACGAAAGTGATGGACGCGTTTTCAGTGATATTTCTCCCATTAATGAAGAGGATATACAACTGAAGAGTCTGTATATCCCCATTGCTGTGCCACGAAGTACTCGTCTACCACTTGAGATTAACTGTGATACCAATGAAATTGCGGTTAAAACTGAACCAATTAGTGGTGATAATTGTGTTGAAATGAACGAAGAGATGTCCAATGAATGTACGACAGGTTTGCACACAATTTATGAACACATTTCCGTCGACTCTGTTAAACAAGAACTGCAATCAAACGAGAATCGACTCGAATTCAATTCTGTGGTCAATGAAGTGGTGGATAATTCCAATGATAATGGATTTATTTTTGGTAATTGACTTTTAATTCAAATCTTAATCATTGCTAATTCCCTATAATTATTGTTTTTAGGCGCAGATCTATTGTCCAAAAATAGTGTTATTAGACATGAAATGATAGACACAAACAGTGGTCTAACCGATGATAATAATAAACACGAAACGAGTATTAAAAGAATGTTAGCGCACATTACGGGGACTGGCGGTCGACCCAGAGGTCGGCCCAGAATTCATCCCAAAGTTGGTCCCAAAGTTCGCCCCAAAGATGTGCCGAGAAATCGATGCCCGGACTGTAACCCCAGTCTCAGTACTTCAATCTATTATCATTGCAAAAATCATGCGCTGAAGACCTGTCCGCTCTGTGATCTGCCGTTTAAGGGCCGCCACGCGTTGGTCGACCACTTGTCCGCATGCAAAGCGCCGCAAGTGTTTAAATGCAATTCAAACAACTGTCAGTTCCAGTGCCACAACACCTATGACTTCAATGAACACAAACGGATCCATTTGACCGAAAATATTGATAAAATTATTACCGAATTTCAAGACGACATACACCGGACGGAAGTGAAACGGGAACTGAACGCCAATGACGACAACTACACCGACGTTGGTGTGAATGTGAATGAGTTCTTGGAATTGAATGATGAGTTTAATGTTGACCAAAGCAGTGGATCCAGTAATGAGATAATTGGCGGTACAATTGCCGAGACTATTGTCCCTGATTTAGGGCACGATTTAAGTACAAATCAAACGACAATTGGTTTAAATCTCAAGACTGGCGATGATTTACTGACCCAAACGAGCGCCGAAAACACTGTTTCCGGTGATTAACATTAATTTTACATTAATTTAATTGTTTTATTTATAAATATTTTTGTGTTGTTTTTAGGGAATAGTATGTTTGCGATGACAAGTAGACGATTGGGAGGTCTGAACAGTCCTCGAGAGCCCATCCGAATGGCCACCGATTCGACCAAAAAGATCTCAGAGCTCTTCAAGAAATACAAGAAATAAACCATTTTTGTGGTGAATATTAATTTTATTTATTATTTACAGTTATTTATTTGTTAATTTACATACGATATCTGTTTTCCATAAAAATTTCTATTTAAATTGTAAATTAAAATTTCAATTAAATAGTAAAACTATTTACTGCAAAGTTTTGTACATTTGATAATCTAATTTAGATTTAATTAGTATTTCATTTACACTTTTGTATTTAAATTATACAATAAATTGTTGATTAATAAGTTTACCTTATGCTTTATTATTTAATGTTAATTAAATGATATAATATTTTTAATGATAAATATAGTTTTTATTTAAGTATTACATTTTTAATTTTTCTTAAAATTTACTGCAAATATAAATAGCTTTTATTTTCAAAACGTTATGAAAACGATAAGAATATATTGACATAAATATAGACCTGATTTTCAAATATATCAAACAATATTACAAATTGTTTTCTCTAATCAACACTTTTCTGTTTTCTAGTGAAATATTCTGTCAATTTGTTTGTGATTTTCTCGCATTTAATTCAATTTAAACACGTGTAAAGCGTGTGAGCAGTCTCTCTCTCTCTCTCTCTCTCCCCATTGGTTCAGTTTTAACCGCAATTTCATTGGTATCACA